CGGGTGAAATGATTTTTTAAAAAAGAAGCATCAGAAATGAAGTTTTGCCGAGAATACCATGGACAGAGCATCTAAGCAACGAGGAAATTTTAAGGAAAATGAAAACAAGACACTTTTGGTTGGAAACAGAAAGTGACAGTTGAAAATTTTAGGAAACATAAAGAGGAAAGATGGTTTGGAGAATCTGACACTTACAGAACATATTGAAGACAAACGAATCATCGAATGGCATATATAACGAGTTTGTTTAAATGGATGGCAGGACAGGGATTGGGAAGTTGTGGAGAACCATGGTCGCTGACGTGCTGAAGGGACACAGCAGATAGAAGAATGTGATATTTGGTATTTTGCTGTATATTGGCTATATTATCTTTGATGACTACTTTCCTTATTCCCTTTGTGGAGAGGCTTACGGCCATATGATGTTGAAACATTGGTTCCCGTACGATCACCGAAGTTAAGCAATGTCGAGCCTGGTCAGTATCCGGTACTATAAGCTTATATATGCCAGTGATGGAATGGATAATGGCTTGGAATTTTTAATCTGAGAGACGAATTCCAGTTCCCGTTAACTTTGTTCTGTTCACTTACGCACAAATACCCCTGGGAAAGTTAAGAATTCACATCTTCTCTTCCCAGATATGGGTTAATTACAGCTAATTATTAAGACTTGTATTACTAAACCATTATTATTTTTTTTTTAAATCTTACAATCTAAAAATATTTTATGGCTTTACATAACCTGCAAAAGGGTTGATAAGCCGTAGAAAATGAATTAATCTATGTGGGAATCTGCACGGATCATATCCTCTGCAATTCTTTATAATGAATTTTTTATAAGGTTGTTTCTATTTTAATAGTTGGCTTAGAAGATTTGCTTCTTCCTGCCAACATATGCTGTTCCTCCGTCAATTTGCAAGGGTCAGATTAGACCAAATATGGAGTATTGCTGTCATTCCGCGGCTGACGCTGCACTCTCTTCATTTTCCATTCTTGAATCATTTATGCAGTCTTATATTTTCCATTCTACAGCCGCTTTCCTACAGACGCAGCGTCACAAGCCTATCGCTACTACATCGCTATTTCCATGGAAAATGTTCAGAAGCGCTCCACTCTTCGTTTCCAGGAATTCAACCATTTGTAGCTAGGACTCCCCATGCTCCGACTACGGAATCGGATCCCCGATATTTCTTCTGTGTTTTATTTGTAAGGAGAAAACTCGAATTAGCTTTTTTTCTCCGAGAACAACTACTTTGTCGAACAAATTATCCCGTGCATCCTTCCCTGAACGCTATAAACGTAACCGCTTCAAGTCCATGGTCAATCGCTATCTAACACCCTCATTCCTGTAATTTTCCCTTCATTCTACTTTCATCTTATATTCCTTTCATATCACACACATCTTATTCAGTAAATCTCTACCATGAGTGGCTCTTAAGCCCTTTATTGGGTGAACTTTAGTATAAAATGTTGTCGCTGGTTTTGAGAGTTTGTATTTGACGTAAATGTTTTTTAATGAAAATACTATTAAAAACGACAGACATTTTGTGTCGATTAATTGTAATGATTGACTTCCAAGTTATGACTACTCATTTTTAGACAAGGAGGAAATTTCGTCAGAAATTGTTCGAAGTTCGTTTCGAAAGAAATATATAGGTAATACGGTCCAAGTTTTCGACTTTCTTAAGTCATCACCAGAGTTGGTAGTGACAATTGATGAGCTTCGTAGAACTGCCGGAAATGGTGTAACAACGCCATTTTTAAAAATATGCTGTCAAAATTATACGATGAAAGCGATTGGAGCTCTTTTGGGGATTTCAAGCCGTAGCACTGATGATTGTTGCAACATAAGCAAAGTGTTTGTGACGTAATCAAGTTGTGACATGTGTTTTTTTTTATATATATATTTAAGGATGCAGGCGCTTAGTCAGAGGGTATCCACCAGACGAGGCTCTGTCGAAGGGCAGAGTCTTGTCTCGGGAAACTGACTCCGTTTTTACGTGGTGTATAGGGAATTTTTGCCCGAGCCTACGGGCTCCACCCCCCCCAAACTCTGCCTTGTGCCACATCTTGCTGCGTGGGGCAGCGGGTATATAATTATGCAGATTTCTAATATTTTGGAAGTAAAATCAAATACAGTTTTCCCTTATATTGCTACCAATAATAATAATATTTCAAAAAGTAATTTTAACCTGTGACGGGAATGCCAAATATGAACCTCTAAGTAATTCTACTGATATGTATTCATAAAAGTAATCAAGACTGATTGGTTTGATATGGTTAGATTAGAAGCTCATCTAAAAAGTGACCAAAACTCTTATACAGTTGAGTGGTTACTCTTTAACTTGTTTTTATACCTGAGTCACGGGAGTCTAACAGTCCGCTGTCAAGATGACTAAACACGAGGACCTTATATATATATATATATATATATATATATATATATATATATATATATATATATATATATACTAGTAGTAGAGCCCGGCGTTGCCCCGGGATGTAACAGTAAGGGATAGATCAAGTATCGACCATCATAAAGACTGAAAAATAAAATTGACAAAGATTATTGTTTAAGGTTGACGGACACGCATGTCTTAATTATTTTTTTTTTTACGAAACTCAAACTCAAACAAAAACATTGTTTTCAATCGTTATGAGTCTACCGATTGAATAGAATTTTATTATAAACAATTGTCTTGTAAATGGAATTTTTAAAGCATTCTGAATGTAAAAATAAAGAAAAAGTGTGCAAGACAATAAGAAAAAAATGTTTTGTTGGAATCTGTTGAAAAATGTAGGAAATCCGATCCCATATACAAACGAACACACAGACAAAAACAACCTGGGTTTTATAATAAGTATAACTCGATATGAGTTGTCCCCCTTTCATTCTCGTGATGTCTCTTTTTCAAATTGATTTCGTGCAAGAACAATTGTGTTTTTCCAATTTTTGGCGCTGTCAGAACCACCGCAAGGTAATTTTACGTAGTCTTGTGAAGTGTTGTTGAAATCGGTTGAAAAATGTAGGAAATCCGATCCAATATATAAAACACACACACACACACACACACACACACACACACACACACACACACACACACACACACACACACACACACACAACCTGGGTTTTATAATAAGTAAAACTTAATGAGTAAGTTTGTCAGCTGATTGATGTTACCTTCTGCACCCCGACGCTAGATTTCCGTAGACGGAGCCTCTTGAAATAACTCCGTTCACTCGTCAGGGTTTTCTATGACATGAAAAATAACTCAACCAACTCCACCCTCTGAGCATATAGAATTTTTTTGATTTGGCGTATATCTGACATTTCATTGGTTAATCAAGACATACCCACAAGTCTAATTTTAATTCTGACCTCATGATCCCCTCTACCCTTTAACTTTCGGAAAAAAGGTCAAAATGATGAGGATAAAAATTTCGAAGATTACTTCAGAAGACATGAAGGCATCTTTAACATCGACAGTCAAAATTGGACAGAAGCAAAAAAGCTACGTCTGCTGCTTAGAAAATTAGGAACTGAAGAATATACAAAGTTCGTGGATTATATCTTGCCAAAAAAAGACATTTGACGAAGCAGTTATATGTCTTAAAGAACTCTTCAGTCCGAAAACATCACTCTTCCACAGGAGGTGGAAATGCCTTAACCTGGTAAAGGGCGATAATGAGGATTATTCCACGTTTGCTGCAATCGTAAATAAACATTGCGACGACTTCAAATTAGCGGAATTAACCCCGGACAATTTCAAGTGTCTCATCTTTGTTCAAGGGTTAATTTCAACAAAAGATAGCGAAATGCGCAAAAGAATGCTTTCAAAATTACAAAATGAACCTGGACTAACACTACTACAATTATCGGAAGATTGCCAGAAATGTATAAAGAAAGACTCGAAGGACATTGGGGAGTCAGCTGTATCTCATATACGTAAGTTAAACAAAAGTCTACGTTTTTCATCCTTTTCATGGAGACAAGGTCGAATTTACTGTTTATAAACTTCAATCTTCCATGAATCTCGTACATTCATAACTGCTCTGGCGTATCGAATGTAAACAAATGACGTCATATGTTAAGAAATGGACAAGGTCCGACAATTTATTTATTAAAGACATTTTTATGTTTAACGTTGTTATTTATAGATACAAGTATTTAAGCAAATGCTCTGTTTTCTACCGTAAGGTTCTTTGTGGCCGAGACGGTTAAGGCACGTCAGCGTATATGACGGTTCCGTATAGGATGCAGGTTCGAATCCTGTCAAAGAACGAATATTTTCTATGAAAATTTCTCGGACATTCAGGCCGGTAAATGTTATTTAATACTGTTTATCATAAAACAGAGCATTTGCTTAAATACTTGTATCTATAAATAACAACGTTAAACATAAAAATGTCTTTAATAAATATATATATATAAATATATATATATATACACAGAGTTGTGGACAGGATTGTTTACCCCAGCTTCCATAATTACAAATAAATCTGTACTATCTCAAATTTTCCTGGAAACTTCATGTACATTTTGAAAGAATGTATTTGAAAGAATGTATAATTATGTCCACAACAAATGTTCATTTTAAAGTCAAACAATGATGAAAAAGAACAAAAAACATATAGCATAGGATACAATTATTGGTCTTCTTGCCTCAATTATCAGTTAAGTAACCCATATTTATGATTATTGCTTTTAATGATTTTTGTTAATTTTTTTACAAGATCACTACACACACTGATAGTTATTCTGCACCATTCTTTCTTCGCAATAGCTTTTACTTCCTCCAAATTCAATGAACTTCTTTCTCTTACTTTTCTTCAAACATGCCCATAAAATTTCAATGGGGCTTAGGTCAGGTCTTTGTGCGGGGTACGCCAGTTTTGGGTCATTTTCATGTTTGAAGTTCCAGTGACGTCTCAAAGACAGCTTTCGTGCACTTTGTTTTATATTATTTCTAAGAATAGACAAATACTGCTCTTTATCCATGACACCCTGTACTTTCACGAGTTCTCCTGGTCTAGAAGCAGTAAAACATCCCCAGAGAAGAATGCTCCCTCCACCGTGCTTAATGCTAGGGAGGACATTTCTGGTTTTTGAGCTTCATTCATTTCATACATAAGGGGATTTCATTTTACCAAATAACTCTAGTTTAATTTAATCTCACCATAAAAAAGAGTTCAAATATTTTCTCCCAAATTCTACATAGCTTCTAGAATGAGCTAATCTCCATTCTAGGTTTTTAGCTTAAAACAAGGAAATTTTCCTTGGATGACAAGCTCGAAGTCCTGATCGATGGAAGCATCTAGTGACTGCATTCGTCGACACATTCAACGCTGATGTCTTTACATCATTGACAATATTCTTTGTCATTAAGTGAGTATTCTTTGAGACATCTCTAACAATTTTCTTTTCCATTCTCTTGGAAATTAACCGTTTTCTGCCAGTCCTTAATTTATTCTGAACACAATCAGTCTCATTCTACTTCTTGATAATGCTACGAATTATCAATCTTGGAACATTTGAACACTTGGAAAGTGTTCTATATCCATTGCCTTGTTTGTATGCATCAGCTATCTTCATACGGTGCTTCTTGTCAAGTTCTGCCATTTTTCCCATGGTTACAGAATTAATGCGTTATCGCGGTATGTTGTACTCCCATATTGTCTTCTTCTTTAACTTTTAGAATGTTATAGAGTCTGGTCAATACTATTTAGTTTTCAAAGGGTGTTTGATTTAAATGTCAAATTACGAAACACATCATAATTGCCATAGAACAATATTATTTCATAATTTCCATAAGTGGCAGAGAGGGGGGAATGATTTTGGACGTCACCAATTTTTATAAAAATCTATAACTATGAGTACAATAGATTGAAACTTTTAATAATTTCGCAAATTATTCAAGACTAAATACGGAATCAACTATTTATGGTAAATTTAGTAAGTACTTGCATATGTTTGCATTTCCTTAGAAAATATGCAAATATTCAGTGGAGGCGAATAATTCTGTCCACAACTGTATATATATATATATATATATATTAAATAAATAATATTTTTTTTATTTTTAAATAAATAATTATATTTTTAAATAAATAATTATATTTATGCTCTACTTTTGTATCGAGCACTATTTTTTAAAAATAATAACAAAAATACTAAAGAACTTTGGATTATTTACCTAACGAGTTCTTTCCTATTTTCTATATATTTTTTCACACACACACACACACACACACATATATATATATATATATATATATATATATATATATATATATATATATATAATCCTTCATTTATGCATTTATTTCATCAAAAACGGCAGACAAGGTACTACGGTTAAGCTTTTTAATTTTTCCCGTGTTCGCACAAGAGCTTTCTATTTTAGACAGTGTGTAGAAACTGTCCAAATCTTCTATAGTTCCGAGCGCTTTTGGCTATACTTCTAGCCATTATCAAGGATGATATTATTTTAGTTTAATTGAGTGTGTATATGTTTTTAGTGTGTTATAGAGAAGTTTTAAATTCCGAAAACGGTTAGCACATTGTGGCCTTGTTCGTAGTTAATATTGTTAAGAGTTGCCTTTTTCTTTTTTTATAATTAGGGCTTCCATTATTTTTAATCATATTTTACAGGTGGATGAGTTTATTATGCTTGTGTTTTCTACTGGCATGTTTCGGATGGAGTTTAGTAGGTTTTCGTATGTTTAAATGATTTCAAATTGAGCTATGGTCGGATAGTTCTAATGTGAGTCGTTTAGATAGGGATTGAGTAGTATGACCAATATAATTATTTATGATTTTGGTTTGATCAGGAACACAGTTCCATAAAGGGCATTTGAACTCGTAAATAACATTGGTTCTGGTCGACCGAAGCAAGAAAATTAAAAAAGATTTAAAATAATGGAAGCCCTAATAAAAAAAGCTAAAACTCAAGAACATCAACTACGAACACTGTGCTGACTGTTTTTGAAAAATAAGACATTCCTATAACTTCAGACACATACAGAAAATATCCACACATTCAGCTAAAAATAAAAATCTATGATAATGGCTAAAAGAATAGCCGAAAGCGCTCGGATGTACAGAACTTTTGGACAGTTTTTACACACTTTGTGTCCAGAAAAGAAAACCATTGTAGTAATACAAGAAAAAATTAATAAAAAGCTTATTCGAAGTACCTTGTTAGCTGTCTTTAACGAAACATTTATAAAAGAGTGATTGCTATCCAAATATACAAGATACACACACACACACACACACATATATATATATATATATATATTTGTTCTTCGGCGTTTGGTACAATTCTGAGATTCATGCACGTGGCAATTTTCGGACACAAATTCACCGTGGTAAAATTTTATATTAACCTTTATAACCGACTATTAAGGTAGTGGAACAGTCCATTGCGTAGTATTTTATATTTTTATATACATATTATGTATACGATGTTCCTTGCTTTTAATATCCAATTTGATTTGACCAAAGATAAAAAAAAACATCTTCGTCTGGAAGAAAAAAGTTCCAAAGACATTCGTTTAGATCTTCGCTTAGAAATCTCTTTCTGTTCTCTGTAGAATTAGAAAAAAATACGTCGCTCGTTTCATTTGGATTTTACAACTATGTTTACAAAACGGTCTCCAGAAAATTATATATATATATATATATATATATATATATATATATATATATATATGTATATATATGTGTGTGTGTTTAATATACGCCCAAGTCAGAAATGTAGTTCTCAACTTGGGGATGTTAGAACTGAAAGAAAATGCTTACATAATAAGAACCATTTTTAGAATTGTCTGAGCTGTCTGGTATCGGCACCGTGTCCAGTTTTCGCTATTTAGATTGTAAACAGTATTAAGTATTCTGACATTTTATCATTTAAACTTGGCTTTTCTTTGAAAGCTCCTCGCTTTTTCTCTTCCTTCTCCTCTTCATTTTCAACACCTACCACAACCGAAACTCCCAACCACAACCACGTGATTCTTCTTCGACGCCGCTGAAACTGTTCTCCTCCTTTTCATCTTCTTTTCTTTTCTTTTACGTCTAGTTTCATTTCTATTCTCCATTATCCACCCCCCATTCTTCTTAGTCCCCGTTCGGCATCTTCATTCTCCTTCTCTACCATTTCCTCTTTTCTTTTCTTGCTTTTTCATCCTCCGCCACCTCCTCCATCACCATCACTATTTTTTCGTCTCCTTTTTATCTGTTTTCTCTTTACTTTCTCTTTCTTTCTGTCTTTTCTTCTTCTTCTTCTTCTTCTTCTTGGTCAATTTCTTTTCCATCCCTGTTTTCTTTCTTTCTTTCTTTGGATCTTTTTCTTTTTTTTTCTTTCTTTCTTGAATTATTTTCGTTTTTCATGAGTTTTTAAGACACTATTTAAAGTCGGTGGGTAAATTATATTATCTCCCTGCTATTATTATTATTATTATTATTATTATTATTATTATTATTATTATAAGGTCAGGAATGGCTTCATGACATTTTCCACTGATAATTAAAAAAAAAAAAAGATCACACACATTTTACATAGATAAAGCTCTTGGTAATGTATGAGCTGAACTTGTAAGTACAATTTTTATATTTATTTAAGACATGAGCTACCAGGAATCACTTCCATGAGTCTATCAGAATCTCTTGAAATCAATCCGAGGCCTCCAGCTACAACTGGAATTACTGATGTCCTCATGTGCCACATTTTTTAGATTTCCACTTCAAGATCCTTGTATTTTAATAGTTTTTGAAGATCTTAAAAGATACAGGGCGCGAAGGGTAAATTCTCGCCATTTTGTATTTTTAATTTCGTGCATGTGCGTTGTTTGTTTATGATTTTATCGACTGCACTGTATACTAGGGTAAGTTTGGCACTGTCTGTGAGAAAAATAACAACAACTCCGTCAGAAATTTTGGAAACGGCATGCTGCACAACTTAGCATTCGTGTCATAAGCGCCAATACAGATATTTCACAGTCTCTGCGTGCCATTCTGAGCACAGTGCAGAGAATTCGGAAAGAGTTGGATTAGTCTAATTGTTATTGAAGTGTTTGGAGTGATCACTTGTGATGGCAATGTTATGCCCCCATTCATCTCCCCATAGGGCTTCAGACACAACACGGCGGCCTACTTCAAGTGCTTTGAGGAGGTAGTGCTGCCCCTAGGTCAAGACGGGTAGCTGCTGGAATACCCTGTCTGGCAACAGGTCTCTGCACTGGGCCATACAAGCAGGAGAACCGAGTCATGGCTGCCAGACAATTTTTGCGACCACATCACACATTACAACTGGCTACCTAATCCTTCATACTGCAACCCCAGTTGATTATTATGTGTGGGGCACAGTTGAGCGAGAGACCAATAAAACTATTTGTAACATCAAAGATGAACTGAAGGCAAGGGTTATGAAAGAATTCACCAACTTAAACAAGGAGACCATCCAAAAGAGTTACAGAAGATTCCGATGTCATCTAAAGGCATTGGTTGAAGCCAATAGTGATTTTATTGAATCAGTTTACTCTTTAGTATTTCAAGATGTTTCTGTATAATTTTGGTAAATATATCTGTTAAAATGAGATGTCAGTGTTGCTGTAATTTTTGCGTAATTTAGACGACAATTTATCCATCGCGACCTGCATACTGCAGGGATTGTCATGTTAATAAGAAAACACATTCTGTCTTTGTCTTTTTTATTACGATGTCTGGACAATTAGCATTGATTGTTCTGTCTGTGTATATTGTAAAATCCCATAAAATTGTTACAAGTCCTATGTTACCGGTTCTGGGCGATGTTCAGAACAGTTTCTTGTAGTTTTCTTCCGTAAAGGTTTCATATTTTCCAGTGCAAAATCATGTCGAGTTTTATATTCAGTGGGTGCGAACACCATGCAACCTGATACAACATGGTCACTTGTTTCTGGATATTTATTACAGCATCTGCATTTTTTTCGGTATGGGGGCTTGGTAATTTCTAAATAGCAAGCATTGGTCCTAGACAGCAAGAATAAAACCTCCGGTTTAAGCTTTTAACCGTGGGTAAGGAGTTTGTCTACATCAGCTTTTTTAGTACGGGCAGGGTATTGATCAGGAAGAGGCTTATCTTGCAATTGTTTCTGCAAATGGTACATTGTATCTGCCTTTGTTTAAATTTGTATGTTCTTTGCCGCTGCAGTAGGTGTATTATTATTTATTTGCATTTCTTCACCCACTTGAAAGTCCCTTTTGAATTTCTTGGCTTCCTTTATTTCTAAATAAAGTTTCTTATTTCTTTCATGTTCTTTGATACATATCACCATCCAGTCGTGTTGTGATTCTAGGTATCTTTAAACACCGATTGTTGTGGTTTTGTAAGACAGTTCTAGTTGAACTAATCCTCTGCCTTCTTCGAATTTGGGCAGACGATGATGCATGCGGTGGCAAGTGAGAAGCTTTCTCGTTTTGACATCCATTCGCTTTATGTCAGCTATGGTCCAATTAAGGATGTTAAAACTGCATTGCACCGCAGGGACAGCCAAAGTGTTTATGGCTGATATTCTGTTTTGTGAATTCAACTCTGTATTTCACACAGACCCATACGCCTATAGTATTCTTTTCTTACTTTCTCCTTTCAAATGAAGGACGAAGTATTATTATTATTATTATTATTATTTTTAACTCCATAGTTGTTTAGACTACCGCTTAGAATATATATATAATATACCATCAGTCCTTGTTTCCAACAAAGACTGATGGTATATTAACTTGATTTCATCGAACACTTTTTTCATTGGCGGAGTTAGTTTCTTGCCGCGTTTGCACTGATCATTTTATGTGTCGTAGTATAGCCGATAGGTGGTTTGTTTGTTTGTTCACTGGCATGATTTTGCGTACATTTTTACTATACGGCTGGTACGCTGCATTACTTAAATTCAAGAGACATGGGGGAAATTATTTCTTTGGTCCAACCCACTATATTCGCTTTCAGATCGTGAACGTCAAAGAACTTAGAACTTTCTCGTCATACCCTTTCAACTTCCTTACGCCTTTTTTTTTCATGCAGTATCATCAATTTGTCATCACATTATAAACCCCCGTCGGACAGTTCGAGAAAATGTTTAAGCCTCCATAACAAGATCAAATTTCCCCATTGATACATCAATGTTTTTGTTATTTCTAGTCAGTCACAGCACACCAACTGGTACAAAATAGATCTCTGTGCCTATTTACTTATGTTGATTTTATCATCGTCTATACAGCAATACTCACTGACATCTTTTTGACATATTTCTTTAATAAATACCAATGTTAGCGAGAGATCGTTTGTATGAGTTCCACTTAAAGTCTGAGTTGACCTTAATTTCGAACAGACGCTCATGGTATGAGGACTACTTGAGAGAATACCTGTTCATCGCAATTGATGAAAATTATTATTATTATTTTTTTTTTTTGCTTCTTCAAAAGTTATCTCTTATTCTTACTACCCCATTTCTCTTTTCTTTGTTCCTTTCAGTCGTAGGGCCCCTCGTTTTTGGATGAGACTCTTGGCGTATAAGCATCATCCGACTACAAGAAATAGCAGTGTCGATCGACACAAACTCTTCAATATGTCTCCTCAGAGCCGAATGTTATCTTTTGTTACTTTTTAAAAAATTTTCTTTTCGCTTTTTGTCCCCCGACATTCCTCCTCGTTTCCCTGATTTTATTTTTATTTTTCAGTTTTAGATTTCGGCAAATGGAATTTATCTTTATTTTTGCAATGTTCGCTTTTAGTCGTTTGTAATTGTCTCTTTTACTTTTGATTTCTTTTGTGGATCTTTAGATCAATTTCGCTGGCTAATCTACGTCAATCTTGCCTTTTTTTTTTTTTTTTTTTGTTAAATATCGCCAACTAGTTTCTTTTTCATACATTACGTTACTTCAACCACCAAAATATCTTTGTCAGATTTGAACATTGTTTCACTTTCTTCTTTTTTACTTCTTACTTTTAAGCATTTGCCCTTTCTTTCTTTTTCTTTTTTTCCGTTCTTTTTTCTTTCTTCAGGTTCTTTCTTTTTCTTTCTTTTCGTTTGTTTCCATACTTTATTTCTCATGATTTTTTCTGTCTCTGTTTGTTTGTTTGTTTGTTTGTTTGTTTGTTTGTTTCTTTCTTTCTTTCTTTCTTTCTTTCTTCGTGTTCTTTCCTCGAGTTCGTTTCTTTCTTTGTTCTTTATTCATTTTTTCTCGTGATTTATTTTTCTTTTTTCCTTCCTTTAGTTTGTTTTCTTTCTTTCTCATTCTTTCTTTCTTTCTTTCTTTCTTTCTTTCTTGTTATTTCTTTTTTTTTCTTCATGTTCTTTCTTCAAGTACTTTTTCTTCTTTTTTCTTTCTTTCCTTCTTTCTTTCTTAGGGTTCCTTACTTTCTTTTTCTTTTAATTCTTTCTTTCTCTCAGATGGAATAAAATTTAAAAAGAAACAAAATTTATCTTGAAAAAAATTATTCGATTGGCTTGAGTGCTTCAGACGGAAAGATTATTCGATTCCTTATAAGATTTTTTTGGCCAGTGCCGCTCTACAGATCACCATCACAAATAACATTTCCTTTTTCAACTTTGTTTCTTTTTTTTTTTTTTACTTTTCCTCTTCATAGCTTTTTTCTTTCTTTCTTTCTTTCTTTCTTTCTTTCTTTCTTTCTTTGACGTTTCTCTATTTCTTCTTGTTTCTCTCTTTCCTTTTCAATCATCAACATTCTTTTATTTCTTTGGTTTCTTTTCTTCTTTCTTTGATTAATTTTTTTTTTTTTTTTTTTTTTCCTCTTCATAGCTTTTTTTACTTAGTTTCTTTTATTTCTTTTTCTCGATTTGTTTTTCTTTAAGATGGCCTGGCCATGTTATTCTTTCTTTTATGAATGATGAAAAATTTCAAAAACCAGTTGTTCTCACTATATACAAAGCATAGTGTCCTTCTTGATTCAACTCAATCCATGTTAGGGAAATACGTAATTCGAAATTCTCATCTCGTCTTATAAACAAAGATAAACTGAAAGATAACATCAATATATTGGGATGCAACCATCAATGTTTGAGGAATATGCTACTGAGCGTTGTAGGTGGTGAACTTGCCAAAGAGGTATTAGGAGCTGAATCTACAGAAGAAATCTAAGTCAGATTCGGAAGAATACCGTTTCTACTCAACATTTTGTGTGCGAAAAATGTGATTTGCAAAAGCAAAGCAGGTTTAGAATCTCACGGAAGACACAAGCACAAGTCTTCTTCTTCTTTATGTGTCGTGTCCCTTCAGGATGTGGGCGATCATGGCTCTCCACAATTTCCTGTCCTTCGTGGCTCTTATAAATTTTGTCTTTTCGTTACCAACATGTAGAGTAAAGCAAAAGAAAATTTTTTCCAGGTCTTATTTTTTGATATTTTTTTATGAGATCATGACTCTCCACAGAGTCCTTTCTTTATTATCTTTGATTTTCAAAGAACTGTTGGGAAAGATTGTGAAATCGTTTCCTGTTGTCATATATATGATGAACTCTTTCGCCGTTTTCTACGAATGGGGGGATCCAAAATCTACTTTTTACTAACATGTACAGGAAGGCAATAGTCTGTCCTGCTATTCAACCTATATCTTGAGGGGGAAGAGATGGATTCATACTTTTCCTAAGGGTATTTACGCATGAGTGAGTGCAACGAACCCGACTGGAAATCGAACTCGGCTCTTCGAATTTAATTATAGAAAAACGAACGGGCATAATTAAATGGGACGAAAAAGAAAACAATTACGAAAAAGAGAAGAAAATTATAAAAGGGGATAAAATAATGAATTAACCGGTTATCGCTCCTCATTCATTAGAACTCGATCGGATAATCTGAGTAAAAAGAAAATAAGAATAATAGGAATAATTTAATCCCAATAAAAAAAACAAAAACAAATCACATTCTGTCCTAAGAAATGCAGATTCATTTTCTTTAATATTTGTGAATTTCCATGACTTCTTGGGAAGGATATTAATTGACTGAGTTGTTGTTTATTACGGCTTATCTTATGTGAGCAAATTAAAGCCAAAACAAAATTTTGGATCATAAAAATAATTCCGTTTTTGGGGGAAGTGAATATTGGATTAACAAATTTTCAGAATAACAATAAATTTTCCCGTCATACTATTTAATCCATAGTTGGGGGTGAATTTATGCCTTTCTCAGAGTATTTTCGCCTAAGTGAAAGTAACGAAACCGAATTGAATTAAAATTCGGCTGTCTGATTTCTCATTCCCAGCCGCTATTAATTCTCCAACCCGTGAAAGATAGAGAATAGTTTGCCGTTGATTTCTTCGTGATTTTGAGTTCAAGAATTTAACCCATAGTGGTTTAACCCTTTTCAGGTTATTAACGTGACGGAGTAGATTAGGACTGATCTTGAACTCAAATTCATTCCTTTTCCATCCAAAAAAATTTGAACGCAAATGGTTTTATTAAAATCAAGATATGACGTGAGGTCGATTAATAGATTTTCCACTCAAGACCACTGGTCAAAATATTGGTCTTGTCCAACTCAGGCCTCAAAAACTGATTCGACCTAACAGTCCATTATAACCAGTTTCGCTATTCGTCTCAGTCTTCGTCCATTACCAAAACCCCCAGCCAATTTTGAACGCAGAAGCGTACATATACTTATTCTGTTCTCCGTTATCTACTTACACTTGTAGATATTCCGACACGAAGAAAATGATAACGTCAAGTTTGTTTTGGTTAAAAAAAAAATGAACATTGTTAGCTGAAAAAAAATAGGAAGAAAGAGAAAGATGCAACAAGAAGAAAAAAAAAAAAAAAAATACATTTAAAACAACGGAGAAATTAAAGAATCATTGCCATTGGCTCATTCACTGTCCTGAAATCATTTCATTGGAGGAGAGCCTGTGACTTTTCCCAGCTATTTTCAAACGCATAGTTAGAAAAGAAAAAAAATCCGGTTATTGTTTAAACTTTTCCAACAAAGTAATTACATGTTTCGGTCACGTTTCGCTGAAGGCGACGGAGTTTTATATTTTTAAAGAAGAGTGCAGATTTTTCTTTTTCTTTTTTAAATCGCGAACACTTTGAATTTTTATTTAAACACGGCAAAAGCGCATGCGTAACCACGCAATAAAGCGGCTAATTAAGTCAATCAATTACATCGCTCCAGTTAAACAATTCAAACAACACAAAATGTGTAAGTGAAAACGAAACTGAAAGCAAAAATGTGCGAATATAGTCTAAGAAAAATAGAATCTTCATGAAGAAGTGCCTTGACATGGTGGACTGGACACAGTGAAGTTGTCTTCTCCTATGATTTGGGGTGCTATACAGTCGGGAGTTTATCTCCTAACAGGTCCAACTTTACCAACTTGTAGGATACAGACAAAACCATAGTCATCTAGAGGAGAAAATATCAATAACAAAAAACTCGGTACCTCCAGAAGAAAACAAAGAAAAAAAAACGATACCTAAGGTTTAAAATGAATTTTAAAAATGAAAAATCTGAAGCCTTTATTTTAATTTCAATTACAAGCTAATAGATTAAATTTAATATGTAACAGAGAGAGGTATACACACACATCCACATGAACGCACACACGCAAATATAACTTTTATTGACTGGAAATGGAAACGGTGTTTATATATCAAAGTACAATATGGGTTAAGATGTGTGTTTACTGATGAGAAACACGATCTCAGGGCAGGAGGCGATGTATTAAACCTGGGTCACTAGTAAACAATGGGGATGGGCGAGATACTTGGTTTTGTTTAACAGTATTCGTTTTGATTAAAAGGTTGAATCAATGTTTAGATATCCCAAAGTATAATTTTGGTGAAGCGAGAAGAACTCGTGATTGAGATAAGGTAAATAATTGGAGAATAGGTTTACATATCAAGGGATAGTTTTTGGCACTCGTGGTAGCTGCGTGCCGGGCCGAGGGTAAATTGTGATCAGCTGATCCTTTTTCTATATTAACTCGAGATTTTGCTAATAAAGCAGAGTCGGAGAAAGAGACTGTAGTCGAGAGAGTCACGAGACTATCGTCGCAGTGGGTCGAGAGATTTGTGGGAGAATTTTGGAGGAGAGAGAGAAGACTTCCCCCTGTTCTGAGAAGTCTGTATGAGACGAGACTATGAGTCATAAACCTACTCCAGGCGATTCAATACGCGTTTATCACACACAAACCCTCTCTCTGTTGGGAATTCGCTGGATGCATTTTGTTTTTTCTTTTTCTTTTCTCATTTATGTTAAATGTTTTTATTCTCCCCGTAACCTCTGTTCTGATGTCATTTTCTTATATAAAAGACGTCAATATTTCCCCAGTTGTTGTCCGGCTTCTGCAGATATTATTTCTTGTTTTATTTTGCCACATTTTAAAACTTCCTAGCGCCAACTCTCACAGTCGTGTCCCCATCCCCGGTGTCGACCGTGAACGTATGGACAACACCCCGCTTACTGGATCTAAAAACTAACACAGTGTGGGCAGCGAGCAGGACTTGACCAGTTGACCGGTCGAAATAATCTACGGGTACTCAGGGAGCGTACGGCCAGTTACCCCATTGTTCGATTCGGACCGAGTGGACATCTCAATCCAAAGAGGAAGACGCCGGAGGTTGAGGGGATAGGGACGAAGTGGTAGAAATATTTCCAATAAATAAAATACTTTGCTGTATTTCAAAAACTAATTTAAATTTTCTGGAAGGATTTCTTTATTTCTTTTTGTTTCTTTTTCTAAAATAGCATTTTTTTTTGTGCTATTTTTAGTCGTCTTCATCGCAATGTAATTCTCTTTTTATTTCAAAATCTTTCAAAAATCAAATATTCTTTTTTGGAACAAAATTTGAGGAATATTATATGATTAAAATTAAAATTAATCTGATTTGAAACATCTCTTTACTTTAAAGTTTAAAATGTCGCAGAAATGCTATTTTTAACCAGATATGTGTTCATTTTAAGCGTTCGCGGGTTGACAGCTTGATATTTATCTAATGTTGTCCGATGGTGGCTTTCGACGTTCAAAAGTAAGCGCCTGTTACATATAATTTTTAAGTACTCAGTAATATTCTCCGTAATCTAATGTTTTATTGAATTTTAAATATTTTTGGCTGTAAATTTATTATAGTTATAGCTCTTATTTTCTGATAATGTGTATGGTCGCCCGTGTATAGAAAATCTGCACGTTTATTATCATAAAAAAAAAATCAAAATTCATTTTAAAATATTGGTATGGGATAATTTGTATTAAGCTTTTCAATTTACGATTAGTAAATATAGTTTTCACAATAATATCATCTAAAAAGGATGGATTAAGACAGAATTTTAAAAGATTAAAAATATTAAAAACCTAATTTATTCTAATTCAAATGTAAAAAACATGAATACAAATCATAAAAAAATTCATTATTCATCGAAAAAATTTTTCTTAAGACAATAGGGTCCTTAATGTATCTTACTTATAAAAACAATTAAAAGCATTTCTAATTAAATAATGTCTTACTTTGATTGCATTTTTCATTTTATGATTCAGAGCAGATTTTCGGTAAATGACTTTGAAAAAATTGATGATTTATATTATCCAAGAAGTCCTGCTTTTAACTAATATAAATATGAATAGGGACAAAATGTTATTTCTAGAATTTTTATTAATTAATTAGGAGTAAAAGATGTAAAAAAATGCATATTCCTACCAAGACTTTCTAAAAATATTTCTAAAATAATTTCCTTCATTTGTAAATAAGTTTCCTTAAAATCCGAGAATTATTTGATTT